GAAGAGCGTAATAAAATGTTAATAGGAGGAAATGTATTTTCTCACAAGAAGATATATGTTTCTGGTAAATATTGCAGTTGCAGCGCATCCAATGCGTATTCATGAAAGATTTACATCGTTGAAGTTGTACGTTTGTTGTTACTTATTTTTGATTTAATGCACCTTTTGTTATATTATGAAAAAAGTTAATTTTTCTGAGGAACACAGTTTCTATTTATCTGTTACCCGAAATCTCACGAGAAGCATCATCTAGGAAGAAGAGAATGATTACACGTTGAACGTTTGGGCGTTGAAAGACTGATGACAGATTGTCTTTTGAAAGAGTGAATACGATTAGCGTATAACAACTAGGAGTCACAAGTTTTTCAAACGAGGGATGAACGTTTTTTACGAACTGGTAGCCTCGTTAATATCTCAAAACCTCTGTAAAAGCTTACCCTTGTGTTACCGTATGTATTTCAATAGAGATTACCATTTGATTATCATTAGTGTTAAAAATACGAATTTAATCGAGGTGAAAAATTTGCGAGAAAAGAATAGTTATTGCGATAGAATGGGTTGATGCGGTCGGCGGCGCATTCGATCAGCAACAGGATTACGACATCCATGAATTATCACGGAGGCACAGCGATACGTCATAAATCTTTCAGCATCGTCTGCATGCGCCGTTAGAGTTCCGGAACAGCCTCGATATATCCATTTCGCATTATTCAGAAGTAACAACGACGGAATTGTTGTCACGAGAGCACGTTCTCCCGAGTCTATGGAGATGCACCTTCTCGAAACAGAGGAAACGAAGGAAACATTCGAAGACACTTTCGGTCTATCTTGTGGTTTCGTGTCGCACCTACTAAATATATCCAGTGAAAATAATACGCGTATGTCTTTGTTGAACGTATTTACGTTTATGATCAATGCGTACGTTCTTGTTACCTTTTTTTTTCGAAGGCTACAACGTGGCGTTAGTACACTTTTATTAAGATTGCAGTTTATCCGTTCGATGAATTTTTTGGGAATTCGCGAAACGTTACATTAGCACCGGCAGAAGATATTTACGGTCGATGGTGTTCGTGTTCGTAATTATTTTCGGTAGGTTCGCAGAATACGAGACAACGATGGTTTCAAAATGGTTTCAAAATGGTTTCAAAATGGTTTCAAAATGGTTTCAAAATGGTTTCAAAATGGTTTCAAAATGGTTTCAAAATGGTTTCAATATCTTGTGTGAAACCTAGGGTGTCGCGTTAAAGATACACGAGTGGATAGTTTCGTCGCGTTGCTGCGTCGTAGGACAATTAGTGGAATTCGAAGTGCCGAAAACAAAAGTGGTCTCGAATTCTTTGGACCAATTGGAATCAGTTTTCAGCTTCTTCTCGCTTGATACACTGTCGCTCGAACAATCGTCCCCGGAACCATTCGTGGCCGACGACTCTCGTCGTCTCTTTTCAGTGATTAATGCTTGCGGGGAAACAGGAGACAATGGATTCAAGTTTTTCGCCGACAAACTGCGTCGTCGTCCTCTGTTCCAATCCATGCCGGAATCGAATCTTTGCTCCATCGAATTCTTTAATTCGAGTGACTTCGCGCGATAACCCCGATTCGATTCGTCGAACGATTCTTCGGATTTCGTTTCTTTTATCCCCTTGACAATATCACTCGTCGAGTTCCCATCGTCAAGGTTGATTTCCACGAGCTTTCCGTTAGTTGCTCTCAGATTGTAACCGTGATATCGAGCGCATTTTCCAGACGGGGGTGGCTGTACGTCCGAGAGATCGTCGTCGAATGTTACGAATCGTTTGAAGGAAATACCGGTCTTGAGATCGTCCCAGCAATTGCAATCGATTTGCAGCACGTGGTCATCGGTTCTGAAATGCGTCCTCTGGAAGCTGTAGACCACGATCTCTCGCGGCACCGATTCCCATGCCCCGATCAGAGACTCCAGGACGTCGCGAGGGTTCAACTTTTCCGCGTACCTTTAACACCCAAGACCTCCGGTTACACGACGAGACATTGTATTCCGTCTGTAGGACGTTCGATCGCCAGAGAAGCTCTACTTCAGGCTCTTACCTTCGTCTGAAGATCATTTTCACATAATGGAAAACGTCCCTTCGCAACGGCCGTAACAACGGCGGGAAATCGTTGGGAAAGTAAACGAGATTCACGTTGCTCGTCGGGAAATCACGAAGTGCGTGCGCTCTGTTCCGTCGGAGGAACAGCAGGATCTTTCGATCGGATCTCGACATACGATCGTTCACTGCGGACAACCAATCACGGAACAGGTCGTCGCCGATGGAACAGTTCTCGGTGTGGCGATAAACGTGATCCCCGGTCGTTGTGACGGACGAGTACGGGCCGCAGATCAGCAGGGGTAGTTTCGTCGTGCCCGACGAGTTGCAACCCAACAGGATCGTTATTCGATTCCGCGGGTTCCCACCATCCGACCCCACGATCTTGTCCGACGAGGGGATCTTCGCGGGCAAGATATCTGTATACATGGTCAGCTCGTCCACGTGGAAGAGATCGTTGTGTTTGTAACCGATGATCGTGGGTCTCATCGCTTCGAGCCAGCCCCGGTAGTTGCTAAACACCGGATCCCCTTGATTCCTTAGATCCACGGTGATCCCGTGTTCCTTCAGGAAAACGGTGATCCACGCGTTCGAACACTTGAAATCTAAGCGGTGAAACCGAACAATTATATTCAATATCAACCCAATTCTTTACATATGCACATTACATTTTTCCAAATTAATCGAGTAATAAAATGTACCATTGTCTATATACATATATCGTCATTTCAATTTCCAACTATTTCACTTAATTCGATAGAGTACATTGTAATTATTCTAAATAATAAATAAATATTTTCTCAGACGTGATTTCGTACCGTTCAGCCCGAACACTTTTGTCAACTCGAACGCTTTTTCACGGACTAGATCCTTGTCCAGATTGCCGTTTGTCGCGTGTCTCTCGCAGACCCATCTAAACAGTTCCTCCTTTATGCATTTCATGGTGGATCTCGCGACATACTTCTTCGCCATTTCTCAGCCAAGAGAGAACCACAATGCGCACAGGTCGACGATAAAGATGAAGCAACCGGGTAAGATATTTTACCGAAAACGATGATAAAACCAGCAGTTTCTCCTTCAAGGCGGATTTATCCTACGATCTTCGATTGTCGAATTGATCGAAGATCGCGTCTCGTTTCGTGTTCGATGACCCGACACCAGTTTCACAGGGGTTCCCCACTTTCAAGATCTCCCACGGTTGAGCTTCCGTTTCCGCTCGCTGGTTCGCCGGAAAGGAAAGTAATCCTTTTAATAAAACACAGGGGGGACGAGCAACAAACTCGACACGGCGTAACGTCGTAACGTCGCAACGTCGCCCGGAGATTTATGCAAAAAAATCTGGCCTCGTCCGCCGAAGCAATTTTCCCGGGGAAGTGGGATAAAAATAGGTTTTATTCTCATGGACGTGTACGGTGTACGCAGGTTGCCGCTCCGGTGTGTTGACCGCTCGATGAATATCATTCATCGTGCGCGCCGAGTTAAATTGCATTTCTCCGGGGCGTCGTCCTGACGAAACACTTTTCACCGTAAATTTTCATCTAATACACCGTGTGCTTTATATTACCGCCTTCCTATCCTATCTTTCTCTCCCTTCCTTTTGCTTTTCACCTTTTTCCTTCCATCCCGCTGCTAAACATCGCATTGATCGATGATATTATTGAAAATAATTCGCAAAGTAGATTCACACGAAAGTATTTTCTTCTAACCGCGCACACAGACAAATTCCACGAATTTCCAAACGACCAAGGAGACCTCGAGCGAAACGGATTTTCGATGGAAAGTCATCTAAAAAAAAAGAAAAACGTAAAAAAAACTACACGATGGGGATTCGACACAATATGCGTTCTGTCGTCTCTGATTGGATTGTAATCGGCCGTATCGCTAAGGAAAATCGAATCGTTGGCTCGTTAACGTGCATTTGCTCGCTGCTCGTACAACTATTATCGTTAATCAGAGGTACGTATGGATGTACGATACTTGTTTACGAGTTTTCTATACGATATCGACACACGTGTCGTTCGCGTACACGTGCAGTTCCAATAGCGTTTTCGACGGGTTCGCAAGATCACGGCGGACGGGAATTCGACGAACGGTGCAGGACGGTGAATCTCGGTCGAGGATAGAGTGTACGCGTTTCGTCCACGTCGTTGGATTGTTATCCGGCCGGTGGACTATTCAATAATTCATCGCCCTTGCTCGCTAAACTAATATCCGATGATAAACGGAACAGCGGCGACAACAGCGGCGATCGCAAATGTATTCCTGCATGTTGTACACATTCCCGTTCATAAGTATTGGGACACTTGTCACGTATGAAGTTAATCGAATAAAATAAGGCATCGCGACGACGACATTCTTGAAGGTCTGAAACAAATATTGTCTCGGGAATTTTAAAGCTCTATGGACAACAGTTACAAACAAAAAATTACTCAAAATGTATAATATTTATGAAACATTTTCTTCATACTTATGAATGAATCCTAATACACCTATGAACGGCAGGCAGTATACATCCTCCTGGTTTACCAACCCAACGAGGCGTCGATTCCGCTTTATCGCGCGACCGATGGAAAATCGCGTTTATTCGCGCGGTTGCTCGGAGACGTCCGACCACTTACACCCGTCTACACCTCTGACAATTGTGAGTATCATTTCGCGGCAGAACAGTTCGAACCAGGACGGCCTTTCGCGCAGTTTCGCGAAAGAAAGAGAACCTCCACGTCACACCGTCGACAGGTAATCTGTTTTTACACGATTTCTGTTTAACACGAACTAGACAAAAATTTCGTCGTTCACCTTTTTACACAAGCTGATTCGAATGAACGCCAATCGACCCAAATTTTAAGAAACAACATCGACGAAAGGTCTTGAATGAAGCTCTTGGACTGGTCAGTAAATTGGCTAATTTCTTTGTCAAACATAATCCTAACGAGGAACGAATTCGGAAGATGAATCGAATGATTTGAATTGATCAACATCGAGTCAAGTAAATTCAATCACAACACGTGTACAAGGATTAATAACTGAATTCGTTCTTGTCACCGAATAGAAAGTGCAAAAACGTAAAAATGATAAGATTCTAACATGAATTTTCACACGGTTTATTGTATTATTTCTTTTGTCTATATTCCTTGTCTGGAACTAATCTTATATTTTTCCATAGATGCAGTATATTTTTCTACACGAATTTTACTTTACACGCATTCTTCCGAAACGTATTTATCGTGTAAAAACGGAATTGGGTGTATCGTTAATAAATATTAACTTCAATGCTTATTAAGTTTCAGTGTAGTTCATGGTTTTAGCAGGCATTTCAGCCGTCAAACTCGATATTACCCTGTTGTATCAAAGGGAGAACGCGAGATCGAAACGTGATATCTATTTTCAATCCCGATGCAATCTACCGCAACAGTAGATAATCGGAGCGTGGGACTGATTTCGAAAACGTTGGTCATTTTTCGTTCATTATTTTACTTGTTCGCCTAGTATCTATTATTTCCTCTCATTTACAATCAGGCGAATTTTCATATACAACGGTGTAATGTCTAATTAAATCGAAATTCAATTATCAACAGGCAACATTCGATTTATGTTTCCAACAGTTACACATCGTCACACTGAATGTTCCCTACGCAAAATTTACTTAGGGCAGGGTAAAGCAACCAATAATTGACTGCATACATACCGATGTACGACCATTAAGTAAAGATATGCAAATTAAAGACAAGAAAGAAAACACTTTTTTTCTTATCGAAATCCATTCGAATGGCCCGGCGAGGAATGTATATTACTGAAACACGATATACATATATCCGTGCAAGTCAATGAGAAAATTACGGACGTTGTTAGCGGATAAATAGCCGCCGTTGGGAACGATATATCAAGAGAGGGTAAACGAATTTACAAGAGAAACGGGGGTTCACCGGGCGGGGCTGGTGCTCTTTGCGGATCGACCGACGTCGGAAATTTTACCTCTTTCTTTTTTTTTTCCCGGCGAAACTAATATTTCAAATCGATAGCGGTCGTTTCGTTCGTGGCCCGGATACGGTGACTAATAGTCGGGCTGGAACGAGCACGATTCGTCTCGCGCCTTTAATTTATCGATTCTCTTCATTCCGGCTCCTCGCAGTTTTCCCATTCAAGTCCAACAGCTCGACGCGTTTTAATGCACTAGTTTTAGACCTACTTAATGGACTCTTACGACCATTGCCACGCAACCTGATGAGAGAGCGAATTTCTATGCGTGAAAATACGTGTACGGGGGAAATGCTTCGCGTGGCAATAGGCTAAGAGGCAATATCCTAAGAGTCTACTGTACATATGTACCAAACCAAGTTCGTAATTCAGACTGTAACGTTGATCCTATGCTTCCGTAGTTGGAAGCACCTATCAAGTCCATTCCATTCCAAATACACACTCATTGTCGGAGGGGGCGAGTCGTCTGTATCAAGAGAATGGAACTGTTTAAACGGAACTCCCCCAAGCAAATCGTTGGAAAGGACATTCCACGAAAAGGGACGACGATTCAAGTGAAACCTTTCGACGTGGATATCGTGTACGCGGAACTGACAGCTCTAGCCAAGAGTCGCGTGAAGAACTATCACGGGCCTGATTCGGCGTTATATTCAGCGATTTATCCGTTGGTTTGCGTGACGAGGCTGTTCGGTCTGGCGCCGTACGATTTCACGGCCGATCGAATGACCGTCTCGAACGTCTACCTCGTGTTCTCGTTGGCCTTCCTGGCGATTTATTCTTACATCATGTACATAGTGTTCCTGAGGCTTGTCAGTCTGAAACGGGCCAAGTCGATTCTGTCCGTTGTCGAGACCACCAAGGTAAACTGTGCACCGTTTTTTTCCGAATGGTTTATTCCGAGAGGATTACAGTAAATACTCGACGAGTGTTTGAACGCTTCTAGGCACTGAACATAAAATATTTCATAAACTACTGGCTATATGCGGCTGAAATAAAATACCATTGGCTTCAGAATTCCAAGATCTATCACTGTGCTAAACCTCATTAAAAATGACAGCATTACACAACCGAGGACCTCTCCTTGTCGTGTCAGTGTCAAGAAATATTCGAACACTCATCGAGGATTTACTTTACACCGATGATACTAGGTAATATTTCTCGTAGGTGATCGTTAATTACATGGTGGCCATGTACGAACTGGTCTCGTGCGTATTCCGACGGGAGAAGTTCGTCCGTATTTGGAACGCTCTTGAGGATTACGACGAGAGGATCGCTCGTCTGGGATATCCGCGGGACGAGACGAGAACCGGGATCGCGGCCTGGGCGCTTCTGATCGATCAGACCGTGATCTGGATTCTGGTGAATCAGAGCGGTATGTACGCGTTCATGGAGACCTGGTTTTTCAACGTGAGCTACATGTGTACGTACGTCGGCACCGCGGTCTCCGTGTACAAGTTCGTGGGCATGGTGAGCTTCGTCGGGCAACGATTCCATCAGCTGAATCGGATAACGAGGGACAATCTACCGGCACGTGTTGGCTACAAGAGCACTACCCTTAGCAGAAAGGTCCGTGACGACAAGCTTGTTACTTCCGTTTGTTCTCCGTTCAACGTTTCTTACGTTAGGGAATTCTTCCTTCTTGCGAAAAAAAAAAAACAGACCATCCAGGAATTGCACGAGGAATTGATGTCTATCGCTGAGGGGCTGGGATCTCTCTATTCGTGGTCGTTGTTGTTCTGGCTGGGAAATCTGAGCGTGCACAGTGTCAGTAATCTCTACTTTATCTGCGATTGGATGATCGTCACGTTGCGAACGGACATAGCATTTCCGTTGATCGTCAACATGAGCATTTGGCTGATCGGTTTCATAACGCAGCTACTGATGGTCAATATCTGTTGCGATTACGCGATCACCGAGGTACAACTGGTCTCTGTTCGGCTTGAATCAGGTGTAATTCGGTCCTGGGTTACGCTTGTGTAAATTGAACGGAACCTGTTTCAGGCAAACTCGATGGGCGGGATTCTCGTCGAATGGGACGCGAGAGTGATCGGAAGGTTTCCACACGACGTGAGTAACAATTATACAGGGGGAACAGTCAGTCTGTTGTCAGGGATTTGAGAGTTCCTTTCGAGTAATTTAGTGCTTCTGGCCCTGAATATGCCATTATGTTTTCTCGATTGGCTCTAGTTTTCGAGATATGCATACAATATTTATGCAAAATAAAGAAAAACAATGAAACAACAATTTCTATTAATATGTTATAACAAGAGATAGGATAATTACATAGAGAATATTACATAATTATGAAAAAAGATACACAATCACTTCCATAAAATTCACGTACGAAACAAAAAAAAACACTTAGTTCGGTTTGTACTTTAGAAACCACTTATTCGAAAGTAAACAAATCTCACAAGAGGATTTTCCGAAGAGGACAGCTAATAAAAAAGCAAAAGTAGTAATGTACTTCAAACCGACACAAACGTTAAATTTCAACAGTTTCGATTATTTTGAAAATCGCAGCCAGTCTAGGTAAAACGACGATGTAATGCGAAATCAGGGATCGAGTATTCTGGAACCAATCCTAAATCCCTGACAACATGAACAAAAGTTTGTCCTTGTACCCCAGTGTTGTATTACTTTTTTCTTTACAGTAAGTTTCAGTTATCCTTGTTACAGGACTCCGTCCGCGCCTCGTTATACCTGCTGACCAGACGTCTACAGTTCTCCGCCGGTGGTCTCTTCGACGTGAATCTACCGCTTCTGTTCTCGGTAAACGATAGAAACGTTTTCCACGGAACGGGAATTACCGTTCGGAGTCTCGTTACTTAATCTCGGAATCAAGGAACGTTATTTCTCCTATTTCCTTTTGTTTCCTCCGCCGTCCGCGTTTCAACTAACTCGAAGGAGAACCGTGGCTCGTTTCGATCGTTCCTCCCTCTCCCGACCCGAGGGCAAAACTGCAAGATTAATTGGATGCCGTTTAATAACCGTGATTTTCAGAAACTCCGCGGAAGCAATCGGTAAACTGGAGATTCTCGAAACGCCTCCGGGAGCGTTCCTCTCCTGTAATCCGCTTCTCGATTTTCCCCGACAGAACGAGCTCGTAATAGTCCCAGCGATACTCGAATCCTTTACACCCCCCCCCCTCTGCCCCGCGGATCTCCGAGAAGGATACAACTTCGCGGACGTTTTAACCCGTCGCAATCACCGGTGAAACGCGAGAACCACGAGAGAGAAAAATAGAAAGAGAGCTTTGATCGTTGATAGAGCAACCCTCGAGATTACGTTTCGTGTAATCGATTCAAAAGTAACTTTCGTAGTTCCCGTTATAACCGATTATAATATAGTTGGAGAAAAGTGGAAAAACAGCTCGTTAATATTTGGTCGCGATTGTTTTTCAGATTGTCTCGCAGCTGTCGACCTATCTGATCATACTGCTGCAGTTCCCGGCTTGAATACAACAGTTCTCACCGGCGTGTATAGCGGGGCAGAAACTCAAGAAATAGGGAAAATGCCCCACTGTGTGCAACGTGGCGGGGAAAGAGAGAGTCGCGTGGCCGAAAAAAGTGGCGTGAGATTGAATAAAAATCGATTCGGTTCCACGCTCCCGCGGATGCATTTTTCACCAAACATTTTTCCCTCCCGAGTGATCGGCGCCCGAATGTATCTCCTTGCAATCACTTTTCCCATTCCCACCGCCGGTAAGTAGTACGTCCAGGCTTTTCGCGTACCGGGCGAAGCTGCAGCCGACTGCATTTGCATAGGAATTGCATCGGTTATTGATGAAAGGTGCCTCCTTCGAAAATTCCCGACCAGAGATGGAGTTCGACGAAAACGAATTTCGCAAAATACATTAACGAATTTTCGTCGTTCATCCATTCCATTAGACTCTGTCTCGTTATCGGATGAAGCTACTTCCGTCGTAATGGAATTACCGTTCGAATCGAAGCATACATCACGAAATTTATTTGCCGTAATCTACGACGCCATTGTTTACTGGCGGATCAATGTGTGGAAATTACAGCCGAACATAGGTACGGGGGTGGGGCGAATGAATCTGAAAGGGAAATTTCGATCGATCGACGTTCTGGACTGTTCGAACTGACTGGAGTATCCGCTAATCGCTTCCCTGAATAATAGACGGACGTGTAGACTCTATCTTTATTGTTTAACCGGGAAAAGGCCGAATCGTAAAACATTTTACGAGCCGACCCGATTCGCCTGTAGCATCATCGTGCTCTATAAAGAGGCTGGTTGACTGTCTTTACGAGCCACATTCGCCTCGGAGTATTAAATTAGAGGCAACCTTATAGACCAGACACCACGGAACCACGAGAGACAAATGTTATTCAGACTCGGGCCACAAATTCGGCGGACCACAATGGAGAATTGTTGGGTAGAAATTTTCCAGGGTACACACACACACAGAGAGAGAGAGAGAGAGAGAGAGAGAGAGAGAGAGAGAGAGAATAAAAGAATCATCGACACTGGACACAGAACACCATGAACGCGGGACACGTTGCAGCAATTTTCTAGGCCATCAGCCTGGAAAATTGTTCCTTCCCTTGTTTCGTCGACCTTCTTTCACAGGGACACGCACGCACTCGGCCCACAACCTCTGTGCATTTTTCCTCGCACAGGCCAGATTACATCGTGCTCTGTTAGGCTTCCTTAAAAAGATCACCCTTTTTTTCGTATCTACGGCAGATGCGACAACTCGATTTCGAGTATCGCGAGCTATGTGTTCCGTGTTGTCCAATCGCGATAAAACGGAAACGTGAATAAAATTTGCTACATTTAAGGAGTCTTGCTATTGTAAAGCCCTGAAAATTGTCATTTTTTGGGAATTTTTTTTTCCCGGAATCACCTACGCTGTGGCATTGTATAATTTTGTCAAGGAGCTCACTTCAGTGAGGTACATAAATAAAAAAAATATTAATAGAAGTTCCAATAAAAATTCTTTTTATGTTCTCAATAAGTGATTTATAAATAGATAACATTTCATTTAAAAAATTCCGAAAGAATGATCATTTTTCAGGGCTTCAAAGTAGCGAGACCCCTTAAGCTACAGTTAAACCGTATTTGCATTTCCCCCAAAGATCATTAGACAAAAGGACGGATCAGTTTTGAGAAATACAGAATGATACCACCGAAGTAGTCGAGTGATCGTTTCGCACGATCCTTAATCCTCGGAGGATTACGCGTTTCAGCCACCCTTCCCTATTGAACCTCTCGTTTTCCTTGCAGCCTCCAATCACGTCGGCGAGCTAAAGAACTCGTTACACCGAATTAACGTTTCGCCGGTAGTCGTAAATTACTCGGAATTGATACGACGATCAATTAAGGCCGCGGCGGAGAACGATTCGATAAATCACGAAAACTTCGCGGGTATCTCTTTATTGGCAAAAGCGGCGACGAGCATTTGTATTTCATTCTCAGTGAATTGTACGTGTGTACCATTGATGTTAAAATATTGCTGAACGGGGGGACAATGGAGCTTTGTCAACTTTCGCAACAACAAAAAAGGTTCGATGAAAGGGATCTGCCCGATTGAAAAGCTTTTCCGTGGTATTTTCGGTTCCACTGAAAGGATCTACTGCTACAACGTTTTTTAATCGGTGTTGTTCACTACCCAACAACCTCTTAACTCAGCAAACTCGTTGATTCTGATTGCTTTTCTAACGCAGATACCGTTTATGTCGCGCGTATCCTACTATATGTATGTCCCGATATCGACGTGTTTTCTCTTTATTTCTTCGACGATTGCATATTAAAAAATGTAGGTACGTACATCTGTACTTCCAGAGGAGTCATTTTCTTTGAAAGAAAGAAATGTTTTTTAAACGTAATTCATAAAGCATTTTTCTCCTCTCGTAGCCAAAGGGCTATTCTTACGGTATAGTAGTATTCACCCTAGAGATTCCATGGTTCGGCGGAACTTTCTTTTCGCATTCATACAGAATTCATGTCCCGGCTACACTATTAACCCTAAAAAACACCGCACAAAGTATACAGTTTCTTTCTTTTTCTTAACATACACAGATACACCACTTAACTATATTTTGGTACGTTCAAAATTTTCATAGCGAAAAAATCATTTCTCACTGTTGCAATCATTACCATTGAATTTCCGAGGAAATTTTACCTTGAAACGTATGTTACGAGTACAATTTCGCTTTTATTCTCTTCGAGTTCTTAATCATCAAAAATTAAAGGTCCCAATTCAAACCAGCGTGTGGTGTTTACGTATGCCGAGGCGGGTTGTGGTTTTTAAGGGCCAACAAAAGGTACCGACATCGTGCGTGATATTTTTTACGTTCTCGTGGCGTTGCAGCGGAGCTTTTCTAAAAAGGATTTATACACCGCCCGTTGGCCTCAACGATTCGCCGCCCTTGACACACCACCCACGTGCATTCTGGTAGGTAGGTAGGTAGGTAGGTAGGTAGGTAGGTACACTAGGTACATCCAGGCGGTGCGCTAATGGCTGCCCGTTACAACCCACGCTCGGGCACCCACGTCATGCCGTGTCCCGCGTATTACGAGCTTTTCTGCGTCAGCGTGTACCAAACCCAACCAACCACCATCTTCCATTCGCACGAGGAAGATTTCGCCCATGACGGTCCCGCGAGCCCCGTAAGATGCATTTACTTTCATAACGTCACCTGCGGGTCTTCGGTGTTCCCCTCTACTCATCTCTCGGCGAGACAACGAGAATAAGGACGAGAAGAGGCATTGACCGCGTACGTTTCGCGTTCCCGTTCATGGAAACTTAACGAGGGAACCCCCGGTGACTGATACACAGAGATTTCGATACAACTTTGTACAAATGTTCACTAGACCAATCTAAGGAATTAACCGTGATTTTTTCGTGCTCTTTTTTCATTTTAACTCTTTGAAGCACATGATTTGAAGGAAAGTAATTTTGCGATTTAAAGGTGGTAGAATAATGGCCTACCATGCGAGTTCAAGCACTAAAAAAGTGCTTCATTTTTCATACAACGATGCTTCAAAAAGAATTAAGGGAAAAATCAACCCTTTTTTCCGAGCAGGCCCTTCTATATAAGTATTTGTAAATCTTCTTGTTATTTAATTTTGGTAATAGAGAGGATCTACAAGGCGATTGTGTATTTGTTAACCGTTGGATTTTTTGAAACTGTCCGAGAATTTTTATTTAAAAATAAAGTACCACGTGTTAATACGCGTCCACGTGCACGGCGGTAAAATAATACTGTACAAATTCGTTTCGTTCGGGCTAGTCTCACTAAAGACCGCACGCCGCGTCGAGACATGACCTTATTTCTTTGCTTAAAATACAATACATGTCACAGATACGTAATACTGATACGTCGCGAGATCACATGATTACATAACGATCTAACAATAAAGATTCGAGTTCTCTGTAAATATTTCGTTACAGAAATATACGAGACTACGGATCGTCTTTTATAAATTTTCTTCTCGGTTCTGTCTCCGATAATCGTTTTCCCTTGAAAACGAACGGGAGTCTAGATTCTTTTTCGAATCGAAAACCATCGAGTTACGCGAGCATTTCCGCCGGAAACGTTCAAAGACTCTTTGTATACATATACACTCGCGTAGAAACATCGGGATTCACTTATTCTACGCTTTTACTACTTTTATCCCGTAGTCACCCGGTGGCAAGCTCTCGACTGGAAATTACGCGGGTGGAAGACAGTATTTTTTTGCATCAAATTCAAATGTCTGAGAGCCGGCGAAAACACACACTACGTTAAAGTGTTCGTGAAACAACGGTTTGCGTTAAAAACTTGTAAAAATAAATGCGATTTTTGGCTGTCGGTGCGGCGGACAGTAATCTCATCAAATATTTCTCGCGAAATATACGATACTCCGCGACACCGAACAAACGGAAATGGTAAACACTAACACAGACGCACACCTGTAAAACAATTTACGCGTACAAACGGGTTGCAATATCGTCTAAAACGTTCTCCGTCGCGTATTCTACGATTACCAGCTAGAAAAATCACAAATTCATCGACGGCCAAATGAGTACACCGTTGGCTAAAAAAACTCACATCTATCTTTTCCCATTAAAATACCCAAGATCGCGCGTCGACCGTGTCAATTGAAAAACCGGCGAAATACACCGAATATCGTACAAATTAAAAAATCCGATAACTATTCGCGAACGAGGTGGCTCTCGAAAAGCTAGCGAAAAAGTACGATCTAACTTACTCCAGGAACAAACTCGCTTTCGCCGTCCATTCGTAGGCGATTTAAAAGACGGACGTCTTCTCCATGACGGTTATATCCTTGACGGAACTCAACAGGGCGCCTCTGCTCCGGTGAATCCTGCTGCATCGTGGTTTCACGGTGGCGTAGTGCGGCTCCACGTCAGATGGGAACGCGTAAAAATCCGAAACCACCTGTTCGGTCATGTACGCGCTCCTCCTCTTCAGGGAGAGCGCATCCTCGTAAACGCTCGATCTCGGTCTGTCGAGGCCACGATGCCTCGGAACATCGTACACCGGATTCGCTGGTCTTCGAAACTCAACCTGGCACGCTTCTGGTATTTCCGTTTCGGATTTCGACAGAAACCTACGGGGCACGTCGTAGTTGCTGCCCTCCGAGGAAGAGCTGCGCAAAGAGATCGTCGAGCTAATGTCCACGCAGCTTCTGCGAAACTCCACTTCGTACAGATCGTTTTTGACGATCACGGAATCTGTGTCGCCGGGCTCGCGAGACTCGTCCAACTTCGTCAGCGAGACGAAAGGGTGCTTCGGGATGCCGGAGAGATGCGGATGTTTCGGTACTCTGGTAAGGGGGGCGGTGATCGGCGACGGGCTGACGGGCGACTTCTTGGTGACCGTGCTTTTTCGATCCAACGACATCGTTAGAATTTTCGAAGACGGTGGATAGGCTGGTCCGAGGTCCAGTTTCACCTGCTCCCGTGGCACTTCGGTCAACAGTAGCTTCTTTTTGGTTAGAGTGCTGTAACAAGTAGGGAACGATTGTAACATCGATTACATTCTTTATACATATAATCCTATACAATTTACAGTTACTATAAGTTTTTTACTACTAGGCGAACACGCCTGTGTACGTATATTTAAACTTCTTATTTGTTCTCTAGACTTTCGTATACTTGTATATTCTACCAAAAGACTCATAACTCATTTATAAGTAAATACACACTATTATTATTGTATTCTAATTGGTATCGGTTATTAATATATTGTATAATATTTACCTCGTGTTGGAGTGCGACTCTTGGAAAGTTTCGTCGTCCTCCTTCTCGTCCAACGAGTTCCTGGATAGGAAGGTCCTCAATACGGTCCTCCTTTTCTCCGGCTCTATGCAGCTGTTCTCCTGTTGCAACAGGATCTCCGTGATGGATACTAGGGAGGTCAAGGAGGAGGATGAGCAGGACCTCTCGTCGTATCCGGAGTCTTGAAGTTCACGCGGTTCCTCGGTCAAGTTCCTCTCCGACGTGAATAGCTTGCTCTTTTTCTCGAACGACTTCTTGCCGGTTAACGAGGACAGTAGCTTCTTCAGCGATCTCTTGCGGGGCAATTTCTTGCCGGTGATCGGTATCCAATCGATCGAAGTGTCCTCGACCTCGATCGGCTTCTTCAGGAACGCCCCGACGATTTTCGGAGTCCTGTCGATGATCTTGACTCGCGGTGGGTAGTTCACGTCCTCCACAGTCGGTCGATCGATCTCGTTGATCATCGTGCTGGTCTTCGGAAGGCCGTTCCCACCGAGGAAGATCGTCTCTTCCGGTTCAGGTAAGGTCACGTCGAGATCGATGCTCTCTAATGTTTGCGTGTCGTCGAGAGAGGAAACACGTATCGGAGTGAAACGGAAGTTCGATCTTTGTCTCGATTCATTCGTATCGAACTTGAACAGGCTAGAACTATCCGAGCTGGACTCCTTCGGATCCGTGTAATCTAGTATCACGGGGCTGGTGTAGATGTCAGACTTGTAACCGGTGTCCTTCGACTCGCTGCGATTGAATGGCGAAGAAAGAATCCCTGATCTTCTGTTGCTCTTCGGATCCTCCAGTTTCTCTTTCGACGGGGTCGAGTAAACAGACTTGGTTTCGTTTCCGTCCTTCGTCTTGTCTCGGGCGTCGATGATTTTCTCGTTGTCGATGTCGCTGGAACCGATTCTGAACGGCGAACCGAAGATTCCAGACCTTCTCGAACTCTTCGACTCCTCCGTGCTGTGTCTCGCGGGCGTGGAAAAGATTCCGGATCTTCTGGTCGCGTCCTCCTGGTTCGGATTCACGCCGAGAAAGTCTTCGGAGCTGCTGCTTTTAAACGGGCTACCGAAAATTCCCGATCGTCTCTTCCACGATTCCGTAGCCACCCTCGTCGATGATGATTCCAGTTTGTTTTCGTCCTGAATCTCTTTCGCTTCCTGGGCGGTCTTCAGATCGTTGTACGTCTTGTACTTGACCTCGAACGCTGCAACGATCTTCTTGACGAAGTTTTTCTGCTTGTTCGCCTCCATAGCCGCCTCCGTGTCGTGCTTCGTGGGCGACAGGAAACCCATCTCGAACTCTCGAATAATGCTCTCCAGATCCGGCATCTCTAGAGGTGTCTCGCAGGTATCGCCGGAAGTTCTTCGACGAGGAGTCGCCGGCTGATGGTAGGTGTTGCACAGTCCGCTGGTGTCCAATGCTTTCATCGCGGCAGTCATTCTCATGGGGCTGCTGGGAACTTGGCACTTGGTCGGCGAATAATTCCCGAGCTTCCTGATCCAATTTCCTTTCGGAATCCTTGCTCTTCCGGTCTCGATCTTCTCGGTCTCGTTCACCAGGTTCAGCTGTACGGAATAGAAGAAAAAAAAATGTAAATTAGCAAAGACGTTAATCCAGTTTTGTAGTCTTGGTTTTTTTTTTCACATAGCGGTCTAAGAAACTCATAAGACGTTTTCATAACTAACGAGATAATCGGGGATGGTATAACCAACCTCTTCGTTGCTGTTCTTCTTCAGCATCCGCTGTAGGAAGCTGTTCATTTTAGTCGCGCTCATTTCATTTAAAAATAAAAAATTGATCACGTCTTTCGAGCCAAAAATTATTATACACGCGAGGAAGTGCTTTCCTTTCGTCGTATTCGCTAAAAACTTGAATTTATCTTGAGAAATCGATTCCGAGCGCAATTTACATTTTATTAGGATAGTTTACGTATACGATGTCGACACGTCGCGATTTCAGTATTAAATGATGTCGAGCCGTGAAAGCCGCCCCTTTTTGTACCTGACGAAACCTCGGGGGTACGTAATATCCCGTTTTGGTCGGCGACGTTCGGGGTGGGAGAGCGAGGGAGTAAGACAGGTCATCGTACGCCTTTCGTCGCACGTAATGCCTGGGTTTTTTCTCGAAAATTTCACAGGTCATCCCTTTAACACTGGAACTACCTATCCAATCAAATGACTGGTTAGCACACTTGTGTAACGATGATTAAAATGTTACTACAGTACGTCTCCTTGGATGTTTGACAATTTTTATTGCAATATGCAAGTGAACGAATTAGTTAATTTATAAATTTCCATATACTATATTTCAAAAGTTAGTCATGTTTATCCTTCCGATAGAAATAGACATCCTACCGTTTTCATCGATAATTCTAGTGTTAATTAAACGACGCTTATTCTATATTTAACTTTAATAACTCGATCGTTCATTTTTAGCCAGTGGTACATGGTTGTGGTTAGCTTAAAACTAATATTTCTATTGAAAAGTATTTCTGGGACGCGTTTCTTCAATATACATATATTAACCCTTTCATACCTGATTTTCTTTTAAGAGTAAAAAATATATATTTGATTACACATTTTAACTCAGTAGACTGTTTATATGATATTTTGTTTAAAAAACATATTTCACTAGACCTACTAAAAACATTCAAAACATGAAGAAATTCAAATTTATAAGAAAAATATGGGTACGCAACGCACTGTATCTAAGGCTTTGTGTGAAATTGTAAGAAACTTCATTTGGGTATACAAACGTGACTACGAGGTCTGAAATGGTCATTGTTATCCTGTGCGTCATCAATGATTCGAATCAGTGGTCAACGTATTTCGATAATAATCTGAATGAAAATTCACTCGATAAAAATCGAACCGCGACGTGACGTTCGTCATCGTGGTGAACCGTTTTCAACGCAAGCATAATTCCTGTCGTGTTTAGCGATATCGATTTCGCCATTTATTCTGCGGTAGGATCATGCAAATTTCATCCCCGACTCATGAATGCAAATTTTACATTCGATGAAAACGCTTGGACGCGACGAACGCTTCGGTGTTTCCTGTATTCGAGCGGGTCGATTTCCGCTTACGACTTTACCTGACGACCAAGAGGACAACGAGGACGACACAACGAGCAATAAAACAATATTTATTCGCCCGATGGGACACCCCCTGTATATAGGTACAGGGGACACTGCATTGTCCATGCAAAGAAGCATGGTCCGATCCGACAATACCTACCACTCCGCTCCGAAATATTGTACGTTCGAACGATACTTTTCTACGTTTAGCATCGTATCGACGGTAAATTCATGCTGGCCAATAAAACAAAATGCGACGAATGAAGGGAGTTCCACGGGGTGAACATTTATTCCGTGCATTTGTACGGTACCGGCGTTAATTCGGTAAATGTATTCCTAGACAATGTATGCATTTACTAATCTGCTTAGTAAATATACTCACAGGTAAATGCATACATTTACATTTGTAATTTAGTAAACGCATGCACAAACAGAAATGCATTAATTTCAATAAACACTTTCGTTACTATTGAAACACGAGCACAAATTAAAAGGAATTTACCTCGTTTCCGTTCGAAGACCACGTTACAGGGGAACGACGGGATATAATTGATAGGATTACACGGTCGAGCGTGACGAGACTTTTGGAAATTAATCGTATTTCAAGGTACCAGTAATATCGTTACCGGCAAATGACTTCGTCAAGGCGAGTGAGCCGAGTCAACGAAATCTCGGCCCGAAATAAACTACAAACTGCTGGCTATACTGGAAATATTTCCGACTACAGCTTCCTGTCGATCATTCCTTGTTTAATTTTCATTCGTCCGCGTAGAAACGAACCAATTTTTAATCCCGTTCTTTTTCTTTCTCTCGGAAAATAGCATTCAAATTTGACTTTGATCCTCCAATAAATACCGGACAATAGTCGAACACAGCGAAAAAAAAGAAACAAACGAACTCGTCGACGGGTTTGAAACAGGAAATGGAATTTAATGTCGAATTAAATATCAATAGAAAAAGGAAGAGGGAAGGGCTGCGCTGGTCACGAGATAGATTACGGTACTTCTGTCTCTTACTTCCGCGTGACATAGATCGCTCGTCCAGTTCCCTCTTTGTCCTTTCCACCGTTTTGTCCACCCTTACTCGTGATATAATTCGCGTCGTATATCGGTGTGTCGACCGTTCGACGGAATGAAATACTCGAGAAAAACGAACGAACGAACGAACGAACGAACGAGAAGGGAAATTCAATTTTCTCTGATCCTCGTCGATCGAGAGATTCCTTTCCCCCGTATTTTGACAATTACCGATCATTTGATTATAATCAGCCATCGAGTAGGTTGTGTTACAGTTTTCTGCTCAACTCAGAACGGTACGTGCTCATAGATTCGTGGAATGGTCGTTTCATTTCCATACAGAGGGACAGTAAAACGACGGATTCTAACTGCACAGTATTGGTGTGTTTGACGCGTGATCCATGCGAAATATACAGTCGAGCAGAGCAAGGATACGGGGGTTAAAAGTAACGGGACCGATTTAATTCCTGAATAGGTGTACCCTTCGTAGTTTCCGATTACGGGCAATTATGTCGGTTGGGTCAAGGTGAAATTGTCGACACGGTATTCGCTAATCTCCATTTATTGTCGTTCCGTTCGCGGCGATGCGTGCGCGACGGCTAGTTTCCCCTTTTGTCAGGGGTGGGCTAACGTCGTTAATCCACCCGAATCGTCTACAATAGCCGTGCGCACATACCTGTCCCCGGTTCGTCGAAATTACTCGATTGTCTTACTGCAATATGCACGGCATTTCAATAGGGGGGCGGCTGGATCATCGTTTGAAAGTGGAACGGACCGTTCCACCCTCGGGGAAACTTACCGTTGCGACACGTTTCTCTTTCTCTGTCCTCGCAAAATCAACCGAAATAGCCGCAACAATAATGAACACGATCGCAATAACGCACAACACCCGCAAATAATTGCCGCAAACTGACTTGTGCGTTACATGTTCACTCTAAATTGTATAGTTATTTCATACACATACAAGAGAATGAACTATAATTACAATTAGTTATTACAAATTAAATAATAAGAAATTAACGGTAATTATTTGTCAGAGGTCGTTAGCTTCGATTCAAACGCAACAATTTGCTCGCGCAAATATACATGTACACGTATAAATCAGTTTGCTCAAATTCTTTGAATGTTTAAACTGGTCTTTGTTCCTCGACGAACGCAGTTTCTTCTTTTCTTTGTCGATACTTATCCCCCCTCCCCCGATCTGTTTACGTCAGAAATTGAACTACAAACAAATCTTTGTTCGGCTACGATGACGTAACTGGAGTACCAATCAGCGTCAGCTACACCGAGCAATCAGTATCAGAGAAACGGTTACGAACCATCGTGTCGCTCAAACCTCTTTCTCGCGAAACTTCCGCAGATTCGCCGTGGTATAATAATAATTTACGTAATCGCCCGTCTACAGCTTCGTGTTTACTGGTCCCCGTTCGATTACCTCGCAGGCCTCATGAGCAAGGGGATCGATGACACGCGGAAAGAACAAGGAGTTGGGGCTCGTCGAACCAAAAGATTTCACGGCAGTAGATCCTCCTCCCTTCGAGGTGGAGTCAATGAAACGTTCGCGAAATTCCCGATTGCGCGGAAGTAATTCACGTGAAATTCACGGGAACGGTAATGAACTGTATAAAAGTGGGTATGGATCCTGTTGTCCTTCGGGGTAGTGTATGACGCACAAGATCCTTAATCAGATGTACAGCTGCTTATTGGCCGTAAAAACCGTCGCACCCCATTCTGCTATCCACGTGGGGATTTCGCTCGTAAAATGCACCAAACACCGATGGACACCGAAAAGGAGAGTGGAGTAATAGAAGAATCGATTTCTTACAATACGGATTTACCATTTACGGTGACATCGTTTTCGAGAGTGGACAGGTGTTTTCGAACGAATAACATTGTATATACATATATACTTTACGCGTTCACTCGTAATGCTGGGTAATTAGGCGAGGTACTTTATTTGGGTGCGAAAGAACTTCGGGGTGTTAACGGCCCTAGGTTTATGACTCGAGAAACTCTGACCGTTTCGATGGTCAACGGAAGTCGAACGTACCCAAACCGAGTATAATGGAACAATAAGGATTAAGGCGATCCGCTTTATTATGATCGCCAGCATTGTTCTGCAGGAGACAACGGCGCAGAGTTTTCGGTTGTCGGTCCACCGGAGTCGAAACGACACACACACTAATATTCGCGATTTCGCGATCATCTTTGACCCAGTTTCAAGCTGAATCCGCGAGCGGCTGCGTGGGCAGAATGGAACGAAATCGAGGGTCACGCGTTGCGGAGGAAGCCGGTCGTCACGGCGCCGAACCCATCGATTCCTCGACGAGCTTTCGCAACGTTGCTAAAATGGGGGATCGTAGCACCGCTTTTTAAACCCAAAGATGCGGTTATTAACCGCGTGGTATATAAGATTACTTATTTCAGAATATAGTTCACACCCCTAACTTTAAGGGGTGTTTCAAATATTTTT